AGGGAACAGTGTGGCATTTCAGATAACAGACATAAACATTTAATGGTGGCCACTGGCAATTCTTTCTGGTTTTAGTACTATAGATTCCTAGCACAAAATTCTGCCTCCAAATTACATGCATACTGCTCTTATTTGCTTCAGCAAAGCTTGTGCACATGTTTCAAAGGTCAGAATTTGGCCGTTGGGGCTGAATTTTCACGGAAGAGTGTATTAAAGACATCTGTGCATCAGCAGAACTATATCCTTTGTCTTCTCTAGAACATTTCAGGAATAAACCTAGTGCTATTGGGCACTGCAAGTGAAACATTTTTTGTTTTTTGAATTACACTGGGATTACTTAGAAGAAACATTTCTTGCAGTAGTAGGTTAATGATTTCATTTATTTCTTGTAATTCAACACTTTGATACCGAAAAGTTGTCAGTTTTAAGAGAGTAAAGATTGGAAGGGACTGCCCTTCAGAAAATTACAGTTGAAAATACACAGTAACAATCAAAACAAGGGGAAATAGTCCAAGGAAATAGGTATGGTCTGTTGAGGTGCACAAACTTTTGTTTGTAGTCTAATACAGAGAGGTCAACAAGTGTTTTACACAAAGGTAGAAAACAAATCCACTTTTCATTGTGGACAGAGCTCATATTTGAAATTGTTACAAATCAGACACTTGAAAAAACTAAAACTTGGCATTCATATTCTATTTGAGTTAGTGTGTAATAAACTGATGAAGATTTTTAAGCATGTAGGTTTTCCCCTGTTTTTTAAACATTATACACTTCTTAAAATGTTTATAATGTCTAATTGCTGCTGGATTTCAAGACATATCAATTTTGTTCTTAGTTCCTGCAGATTTTGACAGAATGTCATACCAAAATATTTTGTATTTTTTGTAGGACTGGGAAACAGAAAATCATGACTGGTATTGTTTTGAATGCCATTTGCCTGGAGAGGTGTTGATATGTGACCTGTGTTTTCGTGTGTATCATTCCAAGTGTTTGTCTGATGAGTTCAGGCTTAGAGACAGCAGTAGTCACTGGCAGTGCCCAGTTTGCAGGGTGAGTACCTATGAGATTTCATGTGCTGATTAGAGGATTGATATTCATTAATAGATTCATTAAGGTGTCCAGATGGTCTGACCAGGTTAATGGATAAAGAACAATACTGAAATGATGGTACATACTTAGAGCATCTATACAGAGATACCAAAATATGGTGCATGTAGTAGATGGTAATTTTTGAAGACTCCAGCAAGTTTTACTTATGCATCTTGACGCACACAGTATACTGTGTGGGAATGTGTGTACGTATGTATGCCACGTGTGAATGCAGTATATTGTGGAAATCTTCAACATGAGTAAACAAATTGCTGTATAAGATGCTCCTGTTTTTACTTAACGTTATTTTAATGAACCATAATGTATTTTTTTGTATTTTGATGACTGCATTCTTAATATTTTATTGGAATAATATTTTACATTATAGAGCCACAATCATGTCACTGATGAGGGCAGTATAAAAAAATATGGGGTGAAATCCTGCTTCTAATTTACTTCTTTGGATTACATTGCTGCAAAAAGGCCAGTATGGATTTCACCCATAGCATCCATATCTATATTGCTTTTACTTTAAAATCGCTATTTTTATGAGTATAGTAGGGAGACAACAAAAGAGTATTTTTTATATACTTTCCAAGAATGAGCAGGTATGGTGTCCACATGTTATTAGAAGACTAAACATTCTAGTCAGGATGGTGCTTACTAGTACTTGGCCTTGAATCAGCCAGATATGTGTCCTTACCGTTGTCATCTCCACATCACCTCCCCCAGTGGGACACGTTCCTAGACTTCCTTAAGTGGAAGGAAAAATGCATATGAATGTTTAAGATAAAATTGTTGCTATAGAAAGGCATAAAACTGCCAGTTGCACTCTGCCTTGGATTGCTGGAGGGAGAGGAAATTCCCTTGCTAAAATTTTAGATCTAGCTGTAGAGCAACAGACTGACCTTCACATGATCTGTGCTGCAAGGAATGTAAGGGTTCAGGTGATTCCTAGTATGGAGAAGCAGTTTTTGAAAACACATGGATTGTTTTGTTTCGAAACAGCACTTTCTGACCACTGTTACCTTAGAGACAGTTGTAAAAACCTGTAGCCTGTTGAATCAGATTGGGAGCTCTCAGCATATAAAGAAGTAGCAAGAAAATTGAGCCTGCCTTAAGAAAGTGGAAAAGAATGAAAAAGAAGTAGTGGTAGGGAAAAAACAGTTAAGAATAAGGACATATACTCTGTCTCTCCATATTAGCATTTAATGTAGCTACTCAGTATTCCCTCTGTTATAAACAAAGAATGGCCGTATATAGGTGAGTTGCTTTAATATTTTTAAATAAAACTCATTAATAATTGTTGGTTCTTATAATAAGTATTGATAGTCATTATAAATGGTTAAAATTAGGTAGTGAGATCTGAGAACAGTTTGACTTTCACCCTGAGTCTTGAAATCCTTTATGGTAATGATACTAAACAAATGTTTACCTTGAAAGAAATCCTGTGAAACTCAGACCATGTGCACTCTGTCTGTCTTTCTGCATATTGGTTCCCTTTTTGTTATACAAAGACTAAAAAAGGTTTTGGGGGCTTTTAAATACATCCTGCCCTAGAGATCTTTGGCTTGCTCAGAGCCTCAGATGATCAACCCATTTTTTGTGAATATTGCCATTTTGAATGCCATGGCATCCTTTTTCCCCCTCTGCTGGCAGCTCCTGTTTTAATTGTAATTAATCTAATCGCTTCAAGCTCTAATTCTGTAAACTGGAACTAAGGAGACTTGCACAGTCCCTGTGAGCAAAGGAGGTCTAGTATGGCATGGGAGTCAGCATGCTTGTGTCAAGCTTCAGTATTCTTCCACCACTTTCTCTCCACCATCCTAAGAAATGGCTACTCTAATTGTATTTTAAAAGAGAGAGGCGTGTATTCAAAAAACTATGGTAATTTGGAAAGCCCTGGCTGATGTCCAGAGGACTTAACAGAGCTTAACTATCTTGCCTAAGGGCAATGGGATTTACTTTGCATTATCAGCAGTAAATATGTACGTTCAAGAAAAGTAATAGCTGGGACAAAGAGATGCATATATTTTCATACTTTATTCTTGTAACTGGACATAGCACTTTTCACCTGAGGATTTCAAAGCTCTTTACAAAGTTGAAGCAAAAATATGTTTGAAACCTAATGTATTGGGAGAAATAATCTAAGAACACTTCATTCTTATGTAAAGATTGCTTCTGTAATGCTGCCAAGGTCAGAAAGCCTTTGGATTATTCGCTTCACAATTGCTGGTTGTACTAGTTCAATCAACCTGTGCAGCTTTATCTTGCACACTTGACTACTCAGAAACATTTTATAAAGGACATTGCTAAGGATTTGTTCATAACTTTAAAATATTTTTCCTCCCATAACATTTATAACAGTCCCTTGCAAACCTTGCTCTGAACTCTGTTTCCCTGCAGGTGGTTTTTCTCCACTGCATCCATAAGTAAGAATGTCCAGCTCCTGCCTTTTTTTTAAACTTTAC